ATAAATAAATAAATAAATAAAAAATAAAAAAAAATAAAAAAAAGAACAACCAAAAAAGTGAGTTTGGACTAAATGCATAAAAATTCATGACTGCCTTCGAAAAAAATTAAAATATTGCCTCAGGAGAAGGATCTCCATAAGGAATGCCAAGAGTATCCATTGCCCTTATCATTGCCTGCATTGCCATAAATACATTCTGGTAAACTAAACGAATATGTCCTCTTTTGTCTTCCTCACTGTATCCGTTACCATGAATGATTCGCATCTGTTTGATAAACGTCGACTTCCCAGATTCACCCGTACCTGAACCACAACAAAATTTTCTTTATCTTTCTTTCAGCGCTATCAAATAAAAAAGCTGCCCCTCCAATTCCTTTCAGAAAATTTATAACTGTAAAAAAACTTCTAGCAGATAAAAAGTAAGGTGGAATTTACAAGTATATAGTTTTAAAAAAAATTAAAATTTATAGAATCTATAATACTTATTATATATTGAAATCATAAAGAGACATATGCAAAGCCAAAACAGATAACTATAATACTAAAACAAATAATCAGATACATTTGAAAAAAAGAACAAGAGCAACAACCCCAAAGAACTGCCCCACAGAACTATTAAAGTTTATATCGCAAATAAATTTAAAAGCTGATCAGAAACTCCCTGAAGAAGGTCAGATTACCGAACGGCTAAATGCCTATTAAAGACCGAGTAAGAAGACTAAAAAAAATCAGTACACAAAAACACAAGAAAATAGATAAACGTTTAAAAAAGTTTCAAACATCCCAAAATATTTTACTATGACAAACTTCTCTATTTATAAATTTTGTAAATGAAAGTAAAATTTTCACAAAATGAAAGCAACATTTGCAAAACAGAAAACTCCCTTTGAAACAAAAATCAATAAAGCTGTCCAAAGAGGATATTTGTTCAAACAAGGCTTTCTCGTAATGTCTAATGCAAAGAGAACTCTTCGTTTACGTTAAAGCGATAAAAAACAGGCAATAATGCGCTTTAGGAGATGCATTGCGTCAAATAGAAAAATATGGCTGAGGAAAAACCCAAAAACTAATCAAAAAACCCTACATTGCTTAAAAAATCCGAATATTTCGACTTTTAATCCACATATTTGTAATGATATGTTAAAAAGAAATAATTAATAAATAAAGAATAAAATAAATATAGGTGGAAAATATGGTAATAAAGACGTGAAAAAGCAAAACCAAAAGTTTTAGCAACACAGCATCGACGAACACCATCCCCATCCATCGCATTTGCAAGTAAAATTGGTTGAACAGAAAAAGTCATCTTATATAAAAAACTGAAGTTGTAAGAAAATTCTCAAGATGTAGTATTAAACACCGAAGTAACACGAGTACTGATAACAGCTGGAACAAAAAATTTCAACCCAACAAACAGCAAATACATTGAAGTAGAAAAAAAAAAGAAACTGAAGGTAACTAGCTTAATTCATAGCTTTAAGAAAAGAAAGTCAAACACCATCAATCACAAACGAGGGTATAAGAAACCTAAGAAGCCTTGAGTTCAAAGAAATACTGTCTAAAGAAAAAGAACAGCGCTAAATGAAAACTCATGTTTTTACGCCACTACAGTTTTTTCATAAAAATTTCACACTAGAAGAAGTTGTAAAAAAGCTACTGCATCGAAAAGGAATGCCTTGACGGTTTTCCAAAAAAAAAAAAAATAAATAAAAAAATAAAATAAAAATAAAAATAAAAAAGCGGTTTAAAGCAATTTTCTAGCCAAACAAAACTGTATTTAAAAATCCTTCCTCAAAAAATGTTCTTAGAAGTATTGAGAAAGAAAAAAAAAAAAAACAAAGAGCCGAAAAGTAATTCAATGAAAAAAAATTCTCAATATTAATGCATATCAAACAAAAAAGTCTGCAAACGACAGCAGACAAATAACAGCAAACCCGATTTGTACTTTAAGAAGCGGTTTAGATAAAACTTGTAGAAAAATGCTGTACAATACGTGAATAAAATACAAAAAAAAAAAAAAAATAATAAAAAAAAGAAATAAAGGTATGAATATAAAAGGTAATAAAGACCAGAAAATCTTACCCAAAAGGAGTAGTTTGAGCTCCCGACGAGCATTACGCTTGTCGCGTTGCAGCTGCTTCTCAATTTCCTGATTTATCCTTTTTTGTTCGCGAGCTTCCTCGCTCAAGCAGCACGTCATGGGAGCCGTCTTGAAACAGGAAAATAGTGCCGACAGCTTAATATCTAATAAATCCTGTCGCCTGCGTTGAACCCAGAAGAGTACGCAAAAAAGGCGTCAACTCTTTAGGCTACACGCAAAAACGACTTTAAGCCAAACGAATAACTGTCGAAAAGTGAAGTATGAATCAAAGCTGTGGGCAATTCAACAGACAGAAAAATGAGATTTACCAGGCGCGGTGCTTGTTCTGTCTGCCAAATCTTTTGTCGAGTGTCTGGACCTTAAAAATTTACTCCTCTCAGAATCAAGCCACTTTTATCTTTCTCGAAATTAGAAAGCGCCTAAATGCGAACTGTTCATAAAAGAGAAGAAAGTTGCAGTAGTCGGGATATGCGTTTGCACCAACTGCCAATTCGAATTCAGTGCATTACATAGTAATGCCGATGGAACCATCAAATTAGCCAAAGCAAACAAATTGTTTTTGCTTAGTCGTAGTTGTTTCAAAGAAAATATTTTTCAACAACAAGCCACGTTAGCTTCAATCACAGGAGATGTCTCCTGACGGAATAATTTTTGACGGGGCGCTTGAATTTTCCGCGCACCGCAATTGGCAGTGATAATAACAGCGATCAATTCAGAAGCGGGACTCAAAACAACGAGGAATGGGTGGAGACAAGAACAGCAAAAAAATAAATAAATAAATAAAAAATAAATAAATAAATAAATAAAACATAAAATAAAATATAAAAATATAAAATAAATTTTAAAAAAATGGAAGAAAAAAAAAAGAAAAATTTAACCCGATGTTTGCGCACACAAACAGACAAACACATACACACACATACACAAACATACAAATACAAAGAACACGAACACAAATGCAGACACAGACACACAGACACACAAACAAAAATAAATACACATACACGTTTCAATACTGCCAACAAATGTTTGGATTAGCCAAACTTATTGGGTGTAAAAAAAGAGAAATAGTACAGAAAATAGAACAGAAAAAGCCTACATAACCTAAATTTCTTTTTGAAGTGAATAAAATGAAGAACTTTTTTCTAATTTATTTTCCTCCTTTTATTTTCCAATTTTCAAGGCGAAAAACAGCGCTTTTTCACCCGGTCGGAAAATTTTGAGAAAAGCAGCGCCCACAGAGTAGCAATGTTCAGCAAGGGAAGGGGAAAAAAGCGGGGAAAAGGGAAGGGGAAATGGGTGGAGAAAAGTGAAGAGACAGAGAAAGAAACAAATAATTTGCTGTGCCTGTCCTACTTCGGCTGAAAGCAGATTACATACAGCAACAATGCCTGGCTACACTCCCCAAAATCTGTTGAATCTTCAACACTATCTTCACCCCGATCCCTCCAACATAATATCAATTTTATAATTCTATCATTAGTTGTTTTACCACTTTCATCGTCATGCTCAACGTTGTTTCAACATACTCACTGCAATTTTCGTTTCCTTCTGTTCCTATACTCTTTTCAGCAACCGTCAGCAACACCCCTTACCCAAAAGCTGTTATTTGTTCGAAATCTAAAAATCTCTGTCGTTGTCCCTATGTATGGAGTCACTGCAAGCGAAAGAGATGGAGAGAAAGATGACCGTGTTTTTCTCTGGCCGTCTGTGCGATTGTATCTGTGCTTCCAACTGCTGCAATTTTTTTCGCGCGCCGCGCGCGCTCACATTTGTGTCTTACAACGAATCGAAGTAATTTGGACTACTGTACCACACGACAAAGCGCTCAAATTAAAAATTTAATTTTATTTCTTACAGCAGTAAAACATTAGGTTCTTCATTCCCAGGCGAATCTTTTTTAACATGGTCATAATCCTTTTTCTGTATTAATAACAATTACCGTGAAGTTTTCCACTTACAAGTACAATTACAATCAAAACTGCTTGTGTTTGAAAGTAAATTTTACGCATTAGGAATCCATCCAGTAAAAATTGATTGCAGGTGATTTCCTGTCTTTGAATTATCCCAAAATACTTAGAAAGAACTAAAGCTCTGAAATCTTCTTGTTCAAGAGTTTGACTGTGCTTCACATACAACATTCACTAAAATAATATCCACAGTCGAAAACATATTCTACGTAACAGCTGGTCTGCAAGCTGCACCACTAATTACCCAAGAAAGACTTCTTTGCCCTACAGTAACGAACTAGCGCAGCTTGGTCCCCACCTGACGTAGCTTAAACATTTAAAAAACCTGAAAATTTCTAATGATGGCAATTAATAGTCCTCTTACTCCTGATGCTTAATATGAGCACAAAACAAGACAACCTTTTCTTCTTTGAATAAGTATCCATTTGGAGATAAAACTTTCAAATCATGGATTCACAGCTGCTGCTTCTAGAATCCCTTTTGACATGGAAACTCCAATCCAAATGTTTTCTAAAAATAAAGGAACAAATGACAAAAACAAAGCAGTTAACTTCAACATCACATACATGTCAGCAAACAACGCGCGTATAATCATGCCGGACAAATTAGCGTCATCCACTCGCTGCTTACTTCAAGCCTTCATTTGCCACTACCAGTGTTGCAACTATGCAAACTACAGTAATACACAGTTACTTCGCCGAATTCGCACCTCTCAGGAAAACAACGAATTAAACTAGCTAAATGCTTCAAATCTCCACAAAACATTACGGGACACAAGCAATACATGAAAACTTATAGCTTAAGAAAGAAAATGTTCTTCTTTAATTACGATGTTTCTACAAAAAACCTCCTCACCACTTGACAAAACCTGGACTTCATACACCTCAGAACCCAAAGAACCCTGGCCACCAGCAGCACAAAATACAAAAACAAACACACTCTGATTTTGTGAAACGCTGCTCAAAATCAGCCACTATTCATCAAAACCTAGGAAAGTCACACAGCACTTCATAACAAACGCCTCAAAGAAGCAAACAAGTAACAGGAAAACAAATGACAAAACTGAAATAGGAAAAGCAGAAAAAAATGCGCAAAAAAACAATAACCATCCTTCAGTGGCTGTCGAGGAATCAAGCTTTTGTAATATTTAACGCAAAAAAACATTTATGGATTGTTTATATTCGACAAAGCCAGAATTTTCAGAAAAACAGAAGACCAATTCATAACAACTTTATTGACACGACTTCAACAATAATACAGCATCTGCAAACTTCAAAATCGTAACTTAGTAAAAAACCACTTGTTCTTGCCAGTTTTATAGCGCTCTTCAAATTTCTTCTTAATCTCCAATTTAGCTCTCGTCTTCTTACCAGGTTCCTTCAGTGCCTCCTTATTCACAAAGTTCTTGTCCAAAGTTATGTCGACTGAATACCTGAAACGTTAAAATTTCTCGATTGAAACGAAAAATATAGTTTCAATCCTAGAAAGCTGTAACTGCACATCTAAAACATTCCTGCCAATTTAGAACTTCAAACGTGGCTACCTTTGAGTAAGCTTATACAGAATCAGAAAAGACACAAAAAAATCGAAGTTTCCACGGTGAACATTTACTTTTACAAAAAAACCTGAACATTGAAACGAACAGCCCCAAGAGCCATAACAATAAATTTATAAAAATGTCATCACAGTTCTAATCAGGAAAAAAACAAATTGTATAAACAATAAATTCGCACGGCAACCTGGTAGGCAACAGATTTGAGTAGCTTGCTACCCCAACAAATGGACGCAACTTATTCCTATTTTCAATTTTTTTCTTCCCCATTGCTTTAGTGATCTGAAAAAAATGACTACATCAGCAGCAAGAACAAATGAACGTACAGTTGTATAAATACAAACAGTCTGTTCTGACTACAAGCAAACGATATATTTCAACAACTCTTTTAACGAACCCCGAATACGCAAGGACAAAGGAGTTCGACGAAAACCTATTACTATTTAAAAACAGCCTTCGATCATAAAAAAGAACAAGCGTTTTACCGGTCTCGGGTACTTGTCTATTCCAGCAATCAACGCGTGGCTATATGCCCGATCGGATGAACCATCATCATACGCCTTAACAATTATGGCTTTTCTACCTGCAAATCTCCCCCTCAGTACCAGAACAACTTTACCACTCTTCATTATTTTACCCATCCTGTAAGTTCTCCGCCTCTACCTACAAACAAAATGGATTTACAAACCAGTGTCCACAAGTTCAAGCAGAAAAACTATGGCTAACACATACCAAGCGATGAGATCTCCGAATAAATGGCGCCACAAACAAGCAATTTGCCTACAAAATTCTCAAGTGCTTCAAAAAACAATAATGACGAGAAAACAAAAAAAGTAAAAACACTGCAGACACGAACAACTCTTTGAACTTTGACTCTTCAAAATCCAGGTCACAAACCCACCCATTGCCAGTCATTTTAGCAGCATCACAAACAAATTTAACATTCCAACCACCATATTCCCGTCCCAAACGACCCAGTTGTTCTCCCGCCTCCCCCCGTATAACATGGCTCCAATTTTTAAATAACTAACCCAAAAAATCCCCTCAAATTATCTGGCAGGCCAATTTACCACGAAAACCAGTAAGCGTTGTTGTGGTAATTGAAGCACTTCCCCACCAGCCCTATAGGCTCGTAAAACGAAGAAATGCACTCCTCCAAGATTTGCAAACAACGCAAGCCAGTTCGAAATATCTCCAACCAACCAAATCCCCATCCCATCCACTTCTAAACACAGAACCTTTTTAAAATATGGCTACCAATTCTAGTAAGAACTTCACCTTTTCAAAAAATAAACAGGTACTAGTTACTGCACTTAGTTATCAGCAGTAAACAAATTAATCAACAACCAATACATTTCAAACTTTTATCAACGTAATTTACAGTAACAACCAAAAACAATTTAACTGACCCTCAACCACAACTCAATAACAACGACAGTTACACGTATCAACCCCAATACGAATCAA